TCCTTAACAGCAACCCAGTTGCTTCCTAATTGGGTTGCACCTGAGCGATGCGTGTGGGTTTGTTGGTGGCTACACTCATGGGTGGCACAGGGCCGCCGAGCGCTCGAAGAATAAATCCGAAACCTTGGGAAGGGAGGGTTCAGCAGGATCGGTTGATTGGAGATCTGGGCTATTCTCAAAATTCTGGGCCCCTTTTATGGATTATACTACGGCACCCTAATTTCTAGGGCTACCAAAATGGGACCATAATTACAACCACCCATCTGGCCTTTCTGGTAGCCTGGGAGGATGCTTTCGGAGGGTCAGTTGCAAGGATGCTTCAAGATGGCTATATGAGCTATGGTCTAAACTCCTTAAAGGGGCTTATATAGGGGATTATATAAGGGACTACTATGAGGGCTATTAGGGGGGATACTAGGAGTTTAGACAATGTCTCATATGAAGTATGAGCAGAGGCCCCAACCTAAGTCCAGCGTTCGATGTACTCCGCAGTATTCAGAGTCGTGCAGAGCCATGTGTTTTCTGAGGTGCAGCGAGTAAGTCAAGAGACGGTAGCTTGATCTTATCGGGTCACAGTTTGTCGATATCATCATTCACATTGGAAACTCCAAAACCCGACCCACGCTGTCTAAATCCTCTAAAGTTTCTACGTTGAAACCGCTTGCAAAGCCATGACCCACCCTTAAGACCTCAAGCGCGAAAACGCCCTCTGGACACCAACCCCTTTTTACAATGACACCTGCACCCTATGATGGGCGCTACATTATTTCATGAGGCAGCTCTACTCCCACTATGGTGGACCCTTCTGGACTGCACAGGGCTACTTGGCTGACGGTTGAGATCCACCCTAGGCAAGCCAAACCACTCATTTTGCTGTTCCCCCGCATGACCCACAGCACCTGATGTGGCTCAAGACAACTGCTAATCTTCCAAATCCAGACCTCACAGATTCGAAGTACTCAGGTGTGCTGCTTGTGGATCGCTCCATGGGCTCCATGCGACAGGCTCTGGAGATCACTTCCAAGGACGTGAGACTTGCATTGGGTTCAGGGTTGGCCCTCCTTCTTTTGGGCTGGCTTTGGCTGAGAGTCATTCCGGGGCCCAAACTCAATTTCTTGATGTGCAAGGTTTTGCTTCTGGGTAGGCCCCTGGGATATTTAATATTTCCCTAATGGCTTTAATAAGGGACCCTATATACCAATATTTTTCAAAGGGCTTTAGGGGCCAACCCAGACTTGGGTAGTAGAAGTAGATTGGAGATCATCAGGTTTGGCGTTGTCTCGGATCTGCAGCCTATGTAGAGCTCAGCTGCCAGGACTGCCAGTGGTACAAGAAAACAAGCAAGACCTGGTCTCCTGTCCATGGAAGGACTTGGGGTTTGATGAGATGCGTCCCACGATTCTCAAGCTTTTGGGAACAGATCTAGTCTGGTTGCAGGCTCTTATGGCATTTACATGAGGATGAATTCCTAAAGCATATCAGCCTTGAGCACGTGTGTGATCTGATTCCGTGTTATGAGAGAAGCTCGGTCCACACAGCCATGCTTGCCTCCTCAAGCATCTGAAGCATGATCTGCGCTGAAAACTCAAGCCTGTTGAGCCTGAAGCTGCGGGGGCTCTGCAATGGGAAGGAGCCTTCTCAGCTTTGCGGACAGCCACAAGGGCCTGACCATGTTTGAGCATGTTCATGAAAAGAAGATCGTGCTCCGGATGAGGACAGCGTGAGTTTGAGTTTGGGATAAAGGCAGGTGACGCAGGTTGACACCGATTGCAGCAGCATCCTCATTCGTGAGTGGAACTCGCCGGCTGCGCCAGTAGAGAGTACACATCATGTCAACTTGTGACGCACCCACGGGACTCGCCTCTATTCCCTTGATGACCTCAAACACAAGAAACCAAATCCTGAACCTTCAGCCCTAATCCCGGTGAGAGGACCGCGACTGGCAGTTGGAAGGACACCCTGATTCTGAACACTGCGCCTGGGAAGAAGTTGCAAGCCTTGAGTTCTGTTCCATCTGGAATCTGTGCCTACGAGTTTAGGCGTAGGTAATGGAGTTGGGCAGACGGGTCTAGCTTCGCATGCAGGGTTTTCGGAGTCGGGGTTTGAGGACTTCAGAGTAATGAGGCTGAGATTGCCTAATCTAAAGTCCTCAAACACCACAAAACTTCTAAGCATCTTGTAAAACGTAAGTCAACACTCCGGACGTGAAAACACCTCACGCAGACCAGACACAGCAGCTGAGGTTTGCAAGCCCTCAGGCATCAACTTGCGCAGCCTGCCTCAATCTTGAGCATGCTACACAGTGGGCTTCGTTTTGGTGGTGTCGCAATGAGCCTCGTAGTTCTTAGGGCCGAGGCGGGGACAAGAGTTTGAAGAGAAAGAAAATGGAAACTACTATAGTATACTGGGGTTATTTTGGGATAATGGAAAAATGGAAACTATTACAGTATACCGGGTTATATTGAGATAATGTATTTCTTTGGGCGCCATTCTGTGCAGCTCCAACCCAGGTTGCAAATCCTTGAAAAATCCCGCCGGCTTCATGTGAGCTATAGTCTAAACTCCTGAAGGGTGGTTATATAGGGGATTACTATAGGGGCTATAGGGGATTCTATAGGGGATTATAAGGGCTTTTAAGGGGGAAATTAGGAGTTTAGACAATGGTTCATGTGCAGCCGCAGACTTCGAGGCATTTCCATGCCAGACATGTCCGAGAGCCGATTCCTGGAGGGCCAGATCGAGGTGGCTTTGGGCATCACATGGACTTCTGAACCCAAACCCCCTAAAGGATCCAAAAAATGGACCCCCCCCCCAATATGAACCCATTATTACATTGGGGAGACTAGGGGATTATTAGGGGGTTCCATCTTTTGGATCGTTTGGGTGGTTTGGGGAAGTGGCTTCTTTTCGCCCAGGGCTGTTGAACCACAGCTCTGTGAAAATGCTCTGAAGTGTTTGGAGAGGCAAAATTACTTCAACCCTGCAGTAGACATTGCTAGACTCCAGAGGCAATTCTACTAGCTTGGAAAGGTAGTGTCCCGCACTCATGGTCACAAAGCTGTCAAATTCACTTCGCTTTTCGGGGATCATAATAATTTTCATTTTTCCACTATCTCAATATGACCCCAATACATACCCTATTGTAATATAGTAATTTCCATTTTATTTTCCGTTATCCCAATACAATTCAGTGGCATCTGTCAACAAGCGCGGCCTGCAGAGCTGTGGATTTTTCATTGTGGTCTGGAGAATTAGGGTTCTATTAGGGTTATATTACGGTCATATTAGGGTTATATTACGGTCATATTAGGGTTATATTGGTGTTATATTAGGGTTATATTAGGGTAATATTGGGGTCATATTAGGGTTATATTGGTGTTATATTAGGGTTGTATTCGGGTTATGGGCTCACAACTGTACCTTGAGGTTGGAAACGGGGACTCGCAGAAGAAGTACTTGAGGAGCCGGGCCCACGGGTTCTTACCTTTTGGCCGTGAAGCATAGATGCCTTATCACAGAGAATGGTGTCACTTTCAAGATTACAAACCGTAACCAACTGAATGCGGTTGAATATGGATCGTTACAAGACCCCTGTGTTTGAATATGGATCCTTACAAGACCCCTGTGTCTAGTTCCGTGCAGAGAGGAATCTCGAGAAAGCGTTGATTGCCCAAATGCTACCCAATCATGGCACCCCGCGGCTCCCTAGGCGCAGCAGCATTTGGGATATGGTAGTTTCCCCAAATGGGGGGACCCCAATATAGACCCCAAAATGCTATAATCCTTAAATGACCCCAAACAGGGGCCCCGCGTTGGCATTGAGAATGCTGTAGCCTCAACTTTGCACCCTGCACTTAGAATCTCAGCGAGCTTGACACACCAAACCTTTTGCCCAAATAGAGAATTCTACTTTGGCACGCGCATGCTGATGCTGAAGTGTCACAAGTCTTCCAAACCAGTCTGCAGCTACTCCTTGAAGAGAGCACGCTGAGTCCTTTCAGAGTGTTAATCGAGAGGAAACAGAACTGGACTGCCCTTGGGGGAAGTGGACCCGCTGCAGCCTTCATCAAGAAGCTTGAATCGCGGCGCCTTGTCCACGAGTGCTGGAGTGTGGGCGAGGGATTTGGTGTGTGGAGTCTGAACTTCGGGTGGTTTGGTTCGAGGTTGTAGGTGTAAGCCAGTACTCAACTAGGATTTCCACGCAAGAAGTTCACTCATTCCTCAAAGCCAATCGCCAAAATGACTTGTGCATCCGAAGTAGATCCTACCCTTGAAGCAGAGTTCGAAGCTGAAAGCTTGCTCATTCGTAGCTCACTTGTTCGACAGAAATCCCGACGTTCACCGCGCTCCAACGCACATCTCCTGAAGAAGGAGGGGGCATCTCAAAGAAGTTGGTTCTGAGCCCAGGCCCACTTTGTCGCTCCTGAGCGCCTGCGGGGAGGCTTCAGCTTCTTCTGCTGCAGAGCTTCTCTTATCCTCCAAAGATTTAGAGGGCTTACATTGCATACGGTGTGTACGGCTTGGGGAGGAAGGTCGGATTTGTGGGTAGATGAGACGAGATTTTTTTGCTTGGATTCGATGAGGTCCGTGCACTGACTTTTCATCGTACGTGAGGCGAAGCAGTACCCAACCAAGAAGCAGACCCTGATACGAGCACGGGTGGTTTGCCAGAGCGTTCTTTCCGGATCAATTTTGCGCAAACCTGCTTTTCAATAGTGACAGAGCTCCCATGCTCTGCAGCAGGCCGCCAGAAAGCTTATCCGAGTGGGTTCGTGACTGAAGTCCTGAACCGTATCCTAGACAAAAAATGTTATGAAAGCTTCTCTGAGCTTTCGTCTGAGTCCAGCTTTGCTGATCTGCACTAAGTGGGTGTGGGGGAAAACCACCAAAACTGGAAAAATATTGGCCGTGTTACGCAGGGCAGACCCCACGGCAAAAAGGATTTGGAAGGCCAGCCTGCGGGCCTCAAACATAGGCATGATGCGGTTTCAAGGTGCCGTTTCAGGGGCCGTGGAGGCTGTTTGTGATGCTAGGCGGCAGATTTTTAGGCACGTTGGAAGCAGTTCTGGGGCACACGGAGGCCGTTCGCGCTCCGCCGCTTCATCAAAACATGCATGCGCCAGTTTGCCCTGCTTCTAAGCTTTCGTCCCTCCCCCCCCTCCGTGGATGCAAGTTGCACTTTTGGTATGGAACCAGCCGCACCCTGGCAGACCCCAACAAACTGCATGAAGGGCTTCCTGTCAAAAAGACGGGCAGAAGAAAGCCGCGAGGCCGAGAGGGCCAAGTCCGAGGAGATCTGCATCAAACACCTCGGGGAGGCGATGCGCCGCTCCTCTGCATTTTTTCTGGTATATTATTATATATTATAGTATATCATTATATCATGGTATATTATGGTATACTATGGCATATTATGGTATCTAAGCCTTTCAGTAGCGCCCCACAGCTTGAGGATGCCCAAGAAGGGCACCCTAAGCCCTGAGCATGAGCATGAGGATCTTTAAGGCGGAGCTGATTCTCATGGACCCGCAATTCTTACGGCGCTTTGGGGAAGTTTCTTGATTTTGCGAACTATGATTTGAGTTTAAGAGGGCCTGGAGAACAATCTGTGCAGTCTGAGCACGCGCGTCCAGCATTACGATGGGTGATCCCAATACAATGCTTGAAGTCCATGCACAGATGATGGCTACGTGCTGTCCAGCAACAAAGCAGAGAAACCAATGCAACAGATTCAGTGAACTTTTAGGCAGAAGGTCTTGTTTGAGCGCCTTCAAGCTGTGAACCTTTTGAGCGCCTTCAAGCTGTGAATCTGAGAAAGGTCGCAGGCCTTTCAAGGACCAAAGCCAAAAGCTCTCTTAGGCACGTCCATGGGTGAAGACGCTGACATCTTCGGCGACTGCGTCACCGACGTGTGCCGTGGCGGTGCACCTTGGCCATGGGGTGTGTGTGTGTGTGTGTGT